GCAGACAAAAAGCACTTTGAGGAACAAATGGCAAAGGGAATTAACACTATCAATGTTTCTTCGCATCAAAGATTCAGGAGCCCGTCAGAAAATCTGATCAGCTGACAGTATAAAAGAAGATTACAGCAGATATGGCTATTTTAAATTTTTTAGTTGCTCAGTGTCCATAGTGGAAGAAACTTTGTGTTCAGACAGTTCCAGTCATTCTTAGGGGATAGGGATCATAAGAAAAATTAGGTAAAATCAAAATTACTTTGGAGAAGAGATGAAAAAAATCACAGAGTGAATAGCAAGGAATGAATAGAACTGATAAAAAGTACTCAAGAGGTCTAAGATGTCTCTAAACTGGAAGAACTAAGGTCATAGCAGTGATGGATAACGTCATTTAAAATTACTGGAAAGCTATACAGTGGTCAGTTTTAAAAATTTGCTTGAAGATTGATCTGAGTAACTATAGGCCTCTTATTGCAGCTTAGATACTACAGTGGAGTCTGTCAATGTGTACCAGATTTATGTGGCAAAGTCTTTGTAGTGGGGGAACTTCAGGGGTGGCTTCTGTGAGAAGATGCCAGGAACTCCACCCATGTCAGACAGGGCCAACACCAGCTGGCTCCAATGACTGCTATCAATGATGCTGGTGGCACCTCTGTGATAATATATTTCAGAAAGGGTAAAAATGCTGCACAGAAACTGGGAGAGAGGGGTGAGACTAGTGAAAGAAACAGCCCTGCAGACACCAAGAAAGGAGGAAGGAGGAAGAGGAGGTGTTCCAGGCACTGGAGCAGAGATTCCCCTGCAGCCCATTGTGCAGACCATAGTGAGGCAGCTGTGCCCCTGCAGCCATGGAGGACCACAAGAGAGCAAATACCTTTTGAGCCACCGCATCTGTTTTTAAACTGACATGACAGCAACAGGAGTACTATGTCGGTCAATTTCAAAGACTGACTGACCCCCTTGGCAACATCAAAGAGTTCTTGATACTAGGTCCTTTATCAAAAAAACTATCTTTAGTTTTCAGCTGTGGGAACAATTTAGTTGGCTTTATCTCCAGTAACAGTACAAGGGCCATTGCTTGAATGTTTTCAGCCCACACGCAACTTAAAGTAGCTGTTTCTCACCACCATCTAAGAAGGTTTATGTTGCTAGAGAAGTTCAACTGAGAACACATCTCCTGGAAAGCCCCATCATCTTATAAATGGGCAGTAAATAACAAAATACCTTCTGGCCTACAGAAAGTGGGAGTCACCTAATCTGCACTTAGGCATCTACGATGTAAATGTATACATGCAATGCAAGCACTTCATTCTTTCATCTTGATGTTTTGGCTCTGTGATCACCTTTTTCTATTCTGCTGATTTCTGATTATTTCGAGCACCTGCACTGTTCAAATATTTTGTCTTCATTGTAACTCACAGCTCTTTTTTGTCATAGGGAGAAGGACTCCAGTCGTCCAAAAAGAAAACCAAATATTTCCTTTTAATTTATATGTTTGAAAAACACAGAACTGATCTTTGGTCTGCATTAGCCATCATATCTTCACTTCTATAGCTTCTATTGAGTCTAATGCTATCCTACCTTCCAATAGTTTGATTAAAAGAAGACGGGATATGTCACATAACATGACCCTACAACTAGCGGCTATACCTAACAAGCATAGAAGTTGCCAGACTCACTGAGTTCAAACTCCAGCTTTTCAATGTAACATAATTAAAAATCCACCCATTCTGCACTTGCAGCCTAGTACTTTTCCTGCCTGATTGGAGGACCATAGGTTAACTGAAGGGAAAAACAAGCACGGGGTGAAGAGAAAGAGCTTCCCCAGATGACAGAATGCTGATTAACAGGGATATTAGGAACATCACTGGATACTCAGAGGAGCAGATCTACCCAAAAATACTCATTGGCCTTGCACTCCAGCAGCACAAATTCAACTGCTGATACTGATACCATTGTCTTCATTTCAGTCCATTCCTTATTCCCCTCCTAGACCTGGGAAGGTTTTCTGGAGGGAAAAGGCTGGGGGGTGGATGGCAGAATGGAGAGAAAATTCTTTGACTTGAGAAGAAGATTTATCACTCTAGAAGAGTTAAAAATCAATGAGAGACAGGAGAGATAAATATAAAGCTCAGATTAGTTCTATATTTGTTTTCTTGCTTCCCACTGTGAAGTTATAGAAATGCATACAATGTTCACTTTCTCCCACAGGCAGTTAATTACTTGTGTGAATAGTTATCACTGCTTGCTGCTGGAATATCCCATGACCACTGACCCAGGGCCACTGTCTGCCACCTCCTAACCAGGCAGCCAAAAAGAACAACAAAAAATCAGGAAAGATGCTGAGCAGGGTCTTTTTGCAGCCAGGATCTTCGTCCTCCCACCTGCAGTGACAGGACTGTTGGGGCTGGAACTTAGACTGATTAACAGAGAGGAAACAGGAAAAGATGTGTGAAAGTGGAAGACAGAGAAAACAGGCCCTGTCAGTAAGAGGGACTTAAAAAGAGCAAGATTCAGCTCTGTGGATGTAACTACAAACTGTGAAACATCTCTATTTTTTTAGTATCAGCCAGCTCAGGATGTTCTCCCCCACCTAGTTCCTCTTCACTTCTTCTCTTTAAGATCCTTGTACGGTGTCTCTGACACTGCTCCCCCCCAAAGCTATAACTTTCCACATACCCTAAAGCCTCATCCTGCAGTCAGCATGGTTAATGAAGAGGGTTGATAATATTATTCATAGCTCTTCACTGTACATGGAACCTGGCAAGGGCCCATTGCTCTTGCTGCGGTTGCTGCCACTCTTATGAGGAAATCCAGCCAACAACTCAAGCTTAGAAAGTCCTATGTCACCAGGAGTAACAAAATATCTATGAGCTATCCATTCTCCTGACCAGGACCCTGACACACAGCCTTTCATGTGCATTGTCTTCTTCCTGACATGTTCATGCTGTGTATGAGATACAATGACACATTTTTGTTCTCACTGTCTCCTTTGAGATGCTGTGACTATCTGAAGACTTTTACAATTATACCCAAGGGGTAACATTAGAGGGTTTCAGCTGAAAGCAACACTTTCTCCTGCACCTGCTCAAAACAGCTCTTACAGAAGCAGGGTATTCCATTCTTCATTGACTGAAGCCTGGAATAACTCTTTCTCCCTGTATTGGCTATACTTACAGTGCTGGTATATACTGATATATATATACTACTCACATATTCTGATATAATGGTGATTTAAACCTCACAAGACAAATCTCCAGGTGGCATCATCACTGACTCTTCAATGGACTAGGAGCAGCTCATCCTGCTCTGCAACTACTCACAGGATACCCTTGGATATTGCTGTCAAAATTGCTGCTTCTCTGCCTAGTTCCTTTGGAGGAACAAGGAATGCAACAGGAACTCACACCTGAGAGAGGCACAACAGCAGAAGTAGGGGCTGCTTCTGCTGGACACTCTCACCTATCTGGATGCTCACATCTCCAAAAGATACATGTGAGTAGCTGGGAGCTGCATCTGCACAGCTCCATGGGATGGTGTGATTGCATGCAGTTTTGCTCACGTTCTTTGGTCTCCGGTGCAAGAAAGATGCAAACAACCTGGATTAAATTCAGCAAAGGCTCCATGAGATGGATGGCTGCTGAAGCACTCACTCTCAGTAGGGCTTGACACACTTAGTCACCTACACTTAATGCCTGTACCAGAGCAAAATGCAATGGCTTCCTGTGCAGGCACTTTCCTCAGTCTCAGTGGGACGGTAAGGAGAGAAGGAAAGCAAAGAGGAAACAAGTGAGGACTTCCACAAGGCAAAGGATGCTGAGACTGCTCCATCTCAAATTTTGCCTCATCCCCTTCAGAGGTTTCTTCCCCTCGCAGTCCACCACTGCTCTTCCTACCTCCCTCTCTCCAACATCCTCCTGGCAGCATTGTCAGGATCCTCTTCCAACCACAGCACTCCCTTGGGAAATAGTCCCAGTTCTGACCCCCTTCCGTTTCCTCACATCCACAAGTTTTCACAGCCCTGCAAGTCCCCTGACCAGTGCATACCACTGACAGCCTTTCCACCTGGCAAAGGTGGCCTCACCACTGAGGGACAGGCAGTCGCCAGGAGCAGTACATAGCAACAAGAAGCACTCCCCATGAGCTTTGTAGACACTCCCCAAGGACTCCCACCCATTCTCCTGGCAAATAAATTCCCCTGTGCCATCACCTCCGTGTAGCGAGGCATTGAGCAGGTTCCCTGCAATGCAGCTGCTTGTCCCAACCGTCCTCTGCCTGCTGGGCTCCTGCTGCCTCCAGGGGTCAGAAGCACGACAATATGAGTCAGTGCTCATTGTGCCAAATGGAGGCCCTGGGGGTTCCTGGGGGCACAAACAGTTTTGCCCCAGTGGCTACGCTAGGGGATTTGAATTGAAGGTAAGATTTCACTTCTTCTTCAGGGGGGAAAAAACCTGCTGTGAAACAATGTTATTTTGTTCTGGTCCTAGTGGGGCTGGCCACAACACTTTGTCCCATCGCAGCGTTTGCATTGTATTTGCATTTCTCATGCAGGCTTCTCAGCAAGAGTTCTCTAGCATAGAGTAGCTCTCCAGGCTCCCTGCCAGTAAATGATTTCTTAGCAGAGGAGTCCACTGGGTAAAAAAAAGACCTGGAGTCAGTTCAGCAGATCCTGTTCCCGGGTGTCTGGAAGAAGTCCCACCTAACAGCACAACAGCTCTAGGTATCATAGCACACGGTGAGAGTGTGGGCATGACCTGGGACAGCAGACACACAGCATTCCTGTGTCCAGAGCCTCTGATCCACCATTTGGAGAAAAAAAGAGGTGGGCAGCAGCAAAAAAGCCTTCCTGAGAAATGCTATGGAGCTGCCTCACAGCCCTGCCCAGCTGCACTGTCTCGCTCTGTACACAAAGCCTCCTACAAACCCTCATCACGAGGGTTCACCTCATCACTTCTTTTAAATTGGGGATGGTGCTGACCTCTCCTGTTTTCTTCCCCTCTTCTAAGGTCCAGCCCTACCAGGGGTTTTGGCTGTTTGCCGACGACACGGCTCTAAATGGCATCCGCCTGCTCTGCACAGATGGCACAGTCATTGAGTCCTCCGTGGGATGGTGAGTATCTTCACTTTCTCATCCTCCTTCAGGGCAGTAGCTTCTGGGAAGCATGAAGGAAAAGCAGCAAGTGATTTCTGCATAGCCCACATACCCCTGTGAAGGCGGTTCACCACCTGCTTGCAGAGGTGGGTGAGTTCCCCTTGACCACAAAGTGTGAAGGTCTTACGGAAAAGATCTGGGCCCAGGGAAAGGAACAGTGCTGTCAAAGATGAAGGAGAGTTTAAAAAGGATGCAGTTCTTAAACCTGTACTTTCTCCTTTTCCTCAAAAGCTTACTTTGAAAATGGCATCAAGTAACAGGGACAAAGCAAGCAGCTGAATTTGCCAAGGAATTGTGCAGGAACAGAGCAGCCTGGGGTTGGTGGTGTCTGGGCATCCAGGGAATGATGGGGAAGCAGAGAGAAACAGGTGCTCCTAGAAACCTGCCATCTCTGTGTAGGGGTGCAGGATTGCCCCAGGACTGCCAGGATCCCAAGCACGTTGCGGTGTTGACTGCAGCACAGCAGAGGCTAAACAAAGTCTTGGCGAGTTGTTTTCTTCTCTGGCAGGTGGGGAAACTGGACTGAGGCCCAGCTCTGCTCCAGCAACAAGCTGGTTTCCTTCTCCCTGCGTGTGGAAAAGTGGCAGTACTTTCGTGACAACACAGCAGTCAACAATGTGAGGTTCGCCTGCTCAAATGGAACAAAGCTGGAGGGCTGGGGACTTTCAGGGGGTCACTTTGGCCCATGGAGCAGCAACTGCACCTCTGGGGCTATCTGTGGGCTCCAAACAAAGGTGGAGGGACCCCAGGGAAAGAGGGATGACACAGCTCTCAATGACCTGAGAGTCTTCTGCTGTCAGTAACCCAACTCCCCACCATATGGCAGCATCAACAAAGTTGTACAGCATTAAACCTTGAATCTGTGCTTGCACAAGTAGCAGTGTACATTTTTCTCTGTCTTTTTTTATCAAGAGTAGCCAGATCCCATGGCTACAGCACCCTGGGCTTTCTTCCTGCCACCATCCAGCTGATGCAAGGTTACTGCACCTCCTTGCTCCAGGCCCAGCCTGCAGCAAGGCTGAGGACATGTTACCAGGAGGTGCGCACATGAGCGCACGCAAACACACACACACATGGCCAGCCACGGATGAACACAGAGAGTAGTGCCTTTACACTGTGCCTACACCTGTATAGACTCACACACACACACACAGTGCTCACACACACATGAACAGTACGAATGGCTGGTACTGTTCCTTTCCTGCTGATCAGCATTGGCCTCCACCAGTGAAACCTGTACTCACACATGGAAAATGAGCCTCTCTGATAGCTGGTATTAGCTACTCAGTCTGCACCAGAGCTGGCCTCAGACCCCAGTTTCCCCAGGTGATGGCACTGGCACCCTCCAGCCTCTGAGGTTTGGGATTCCATTCCAGTTGCCGGCACTTGGCTCAAGTGCTGCTGCCTGGTCATCCAGCTTGAAGGTTGCTGGTGGTCTCTCACATGTGCTCAGAATAGAGGGTGTGCCCACATAGAAAGTCAGTGTAGAGAATGTCAGAGCAATTAGTGTCAGTAGTAACAAATAGTTATTATTATGCAGGAATATTTAGTAAGATTGTAGGCTGTGGTGACGAGGTGCAGGTCTCAGTCCTCGGAACGTACTGACTGGCAGATGTCAACCAGACCAGCATCTTTGATCCCCTTTTTTTCTCACATTATTTCCCACAGCAGAACCTCCTCTGATCCTTCCCCTAAATATCCCATACTAATTCTTGCACATTGCCACAAGTCCCTTAATACACTTCATAAGTAGTAAAAAATCCGCAAATGCTATTCCCCTGCAGCCCTCGTGAGTCTCATGCCCCTGTGGATGCTCACCCCCACAGTTTGCAGGTCCTTCTGGGGAGAGAGTGGCCCCTCTAACTCTTCAGTGGAGTTCACCAGGTGCCTGTGGCTGATGGCTCTCCTCCAACAATCAGAGGGAGCAGGTCTGGAGCTCTGTAGGCGCTGCTGAACTTACTGGTTTCTTTGCCTGGTGTTGCCACTGATTCCTGCTGGGTCTTTGTGTAGGTGTTTTATAACCTACCCAATTCCTGTGCAGGAGCACAGGGGATTCCCACACCTGCCAGTAAGGTAGGAGTCAGAACTGTAAAAGCTGAACAGTAAAGTAGAAGAGGGTTCATCTGCCCTGGCAGAAACCATGGTTTCAAAGGAGAGGAAAGAGAACTCTTTATCCTATCTCCATTATAATGCTTAAGATGAGGAAGGATGACTATCATACAGTTATTCATCCACAAATAAGTTCAAATATACCATGCAGCTCGTGGCCCCAGCTGCACACCTCTCCTTCCAGCCTGCTCAGCACAGCATCTCAGCGTCTCAACCTCTCCAGGTGCCTGGTGTAAAAGATGCATCCTGAGGACTTTTGTTTTGAAGACTACAGTAATTCACATGTGATGAAGTCAGAAATGTACCATTGTATAGGTACCTTTCCTGAATTCACCACCATCTCGTTCAGCATCAAAACCTCCTGCTCAGCACTTCTCTGGAGTGCAGAAAGAGGAGGCAGAAATCTGAGAAAGGGAGAGGGAAGGAGAATATCCTCAGCTCTGTAAATTTCATAGACTTTTCCCATACGCATGTATTTGAAATATGTTTGCTATGGTATTCTCTCTGATAAGTAATTCTTCCTTAGGAAAATTGTGAATGGCCCTCAGTAACACACCTGTGAGCCAGAAGTTTCTGTGCTCACAGCTAACATGCAGACGATGTTATCTTTGTTTAATCTCTGTTGGGATTCCAGATGTTCTACAGATTTGTGCCCTTATGCATCCAAACAGACTGCTTTCACTTGGCATGGTGCCAGAAGAAGCCTTACAACAGGTATATTTACAAGCATATTTAACTCTTTCCACCAAGATTTTGAAAACTGGGTTTTGAAACTCTAAGCAGTCATATTTTTATTGCCCGTTTGCTTGGTTACCACATAATTTTCTTATTCTTTCCTTTACTGATAAGCCCCACAGAGTCATCTATTATCCCAGGAGAGCACCAGATTTAAAATCAAAAGAGAATAATTGAATACATGATCTGGCAACAAGGTCACACATCCTCATGGGTGGATATCCAATTTTAAGAGATGAAGGCACTCTCAAGTCAGCTCTGTTATAGGAATCTCTGTTTACAAGTAGATATAATAGGAAAATTCATAAGTCAGTTTTTCTTCTGGAAAAAAGGTTCCCTTAGGGCACTCTGAAATTCACTGAGACAAAAAGATGGGATTCTTGTCATGAATGTCTCATGAGTTTTTATGTTGTCTTTGTATTATTATATCACATTCATATTACTCATTACTCATTCAGTTAAGCAAGTTGTTGTACACAGCACTTTACATGGCATTAAACATGAAAGTATTTCTGTCTACACAGACAAGAAAACTAGTCTTAAAAATAATTTCATGGTCTTTCTGCTCAGCTATTTGTCCTCCCCATTATAATAAAAACATTTGATTAAGCTGAATCCAAATGCCATGGCAGATCCTCTTGAATAATAAATATCCCAGCTTCTGAGCAGAGCAGATTTAACAGTGAAATGCTGGAAGATACATCACTGTCTATTACTCCTTCAAATTCATTATTTGACTAATGTCAGATTTTATGCTGTGTATGTCACTACTCTACAACAGAAAACCCCAGGGCTTGCCACAGTCCACTGCAAAGTTGCAAGGCTCATGTTAAGCAGTTGCTTTCTGTCCATTCACAGCAGCATATAGCCCCTCTCCTCTCAAGAAAGCCTGAATGAACTATCAGATGGGAACACAAGGCTATTCAATAATAATCCTACTTCTTGTGCAGTTATTCACCTTGATGCACAGCAAGGGCTGGTCGAGATGTTTAATCTTACATTCCTCATTTCATGTGTGTTTTGCCTTTAGACACCTATGATAAAAATAGCCAGCAGCATCTACTCTTCCCCCATTTACTGTATGTAAAGATATTCACAGACACACTTCCTCAAAATACGTAATTTATGTGCAGCAACAACCGTTAATGAAGTAACATCACTTATTCAGAAATGTATGGGTTTGAGCATCTGGGGAATGGGGACTAGCTCTAAAATAACACCCAGGGTTCACCTTCAACACCTTTGTTGTATATGTGGAGGGATAGTGGTCTTATTCTACCCAAACAACCAGCTTTCCTCCTCAGAAAGTCCTGGTTACTTGTCCAATACAAACTGATTCAGAGAAGTGCCAATGGAGTTGCACTACAATAAAAAGGTGCATCAGGGATATCCTCAAGCTAAAACCTTTGTTAAGGAAGCAGGTAGTAAAGGCAATTGAATGCAATATCATGTGGGACTGGTAGCACTGCTCAAAATACCTATCCAGCATCCAGTCCAGAACAGAGGCAGCACTATGCTCATATCTGTTCAGAGCACATCTACAAACTGATAGACCTACTTTTGTCCTTAGCCTTCTCTCTCCAGGGCTCGGCACTGCTTTCCCACTGCTCCCGCACACTCTTCTACTCTGAATTTTTATGTAGAACTTTGTACTTGTTCTTCCTTTTGTGCTAGATGCAGGGTAATGCCTGCTTTCCCTCAAACCTCGCACCTTGCTCACAAAAGACAGAGGCATGAGAAGAACAGGAGCATTACTTTGACAGCTGCTTAAAGCAGCATTCACATTTTATTATTTGCACCTGATAGGCTGTGTACTATTGGAGGAGCTCTGTCTCATTTTTACTGTCTATTCCAGTGACAGACTCAGTACATAAAAACCCCAGTAATGGACCAGGGTCTGTGTGGCACTTGACACTGTGCAACCAGGGAACAGAAGGATGGTCTAATCTTTGTTGCAACTTGAGCATACACATTAGCAAGCATCCTCTTCACATGCTAAGTGAGGTGACAGTGCACTTCTTAGAAGTCATAGGCCTGTCCCCCAGCTGTGACAACACCTGTGACACCCTTTCTGGAGTGAGAGAATAAATATGAGGAATAAAATAGAACAGGATAAAAAATGCCTTGGAAATCTTCCTAGTGTTTCTCTTAAGAGCACTGAAGGAAGACAGAACATTTTGATCTTCCCTGTTTTCATTCCCAGGTTGGTTCCCCTGGTGCATTAGCAGCCTTCAGACATCACTGCCATGTATTCGAGGCAGTACAAGCCCCTTTGCAGATTCTCAAATGGGTGAGTTTAAATCTCCCTATAGATTATATAAAGTGAAATAATGAATACTAAAGCTGGGAAGTAGCACTCCAAAGCTTTGCAAAGTGTTCATGTCAGACATCATGAACTTATCCCTAGGCACTGGGCATTTCAAGCATACTACCTCTGTAACAGCCATCAGACCCAAAACTGTCCTGGAAAGTTTGTTTCCTCCTTAAAAGCAGCAAGTGTTGGACTTCACTCTAAACTGGAAAATAAACTGCACTGGGAGACATTGCAGCCCAGAAGCTCTCTTGTGCTTATCAGCATTCTCATCCTCTGAGCCTGCTACATTCCCTTCAGAAAAACTATAATATATCTGCAGCACTGTAAAGTTTGAACTTGGCTCCATGTAGAGAGAATGTCCTTGAAGTTCAGAACTCTTCTAAGCCAGCTTATTGCCTCTGAGAAGCTCCTTAATGAAGTACTTTTTTCCTTGAAGTAGAAGTATTGTATCTGATTTTATCTACTATTTTTCATTTTAGTAGGAGATTTGGGTTTGCTTCCACAAACGTGTCTTTGACCTGTAATAAAATCTGTACTGAAGTAATGGCTAAGTTTCAACAAGTAAGTAATTATTCCAGTAAATCCAAGGGAGAGTACAAACAACTACATCCGTCTAACCTTTCTGTGCCCCTTTTCAGAAACAAACATGTACTTTAAGCAAA